AATATAACTATACTACACATCAGCTGCTTTTTATTATGTAATAGGGGTAAAATAGGAACCATTTATTAGTGTAAACATTGAAATCCCACGGAATAATTAACCCAGACGAATTTTTCTCTCTCCTATCAAAAGTCCAACGTCCTTTCACTTCCCACTAGCTCTCTCTCTCTTCATCTTCTCACCGTAGCTCTCTCTTCATGTGTTCTAACCCGGCTCTCATTCTCTCTCTCTCTCTCTCTCTCTCTCTCTCTCTCTCTCTCTCTCTCTCTCTCTCTCTCTCTCTCTTTCCAAAAGTCACAACATTCTTTACAAGATGAAGACAAACAGAGGAAAGAAATCCGCTTCTTCAAGAAGGGGTAAAACCATTCCATGTTCAAATATTTTCTTTTTTTTTTTTTTTTTGTTTTGTTGACGAAAGGTTGATCTTTTGGTGGTCTTGTCGTGCTAAGTTACTGTTGCTGTGTTGTTATGCTGCTAATGAAGTAAAATTAGATTCGCTGGAGTGAATCTGGATTCACTCCAGTGAATCTGGATTCGCTGGAGTGAATCGAGAGCCATATATAGTTAATATTTATTTAGTTATTGTTCACAAGTTAGAGTTAATATTTATTTAATTGTAGTTCACAAGTTGGTGGTCTTGTTGTGCTGTGTTGCTGCTGTTGTGTTGTTGTGCTGCTACTGAAGTGAAACTCAATTCACTGGAGTGAATCTGGATTCACTCCAGTGAATCTGGATTCATTGGTTGTTTGTTGCTCCTATTTTATGAAGAGACATGCCTATGAAACAATGAATACGAAGGGATGAAGTTTCTTTCGCATCAGTGACTATTTGAAGTGAAGTGAATCGAGATTCACTTTAGTGAATCTTCAGTGAATCTCGATTCACTGAAGTGAATCTCGATTCATTATAGTGAATCGAGATTCATCCATGAGAGACTTTGTTTAACAGTATAATAATAAAATTTATTATCTAATCATTGAATATCCTGCTGATTTATTATTAAAATGGACAGGATCGACAATTCAATCAGCTCAAGAGATTGAGTTCTATCTACTGTTACCAATATCTGACTGATCACATTAACCAATTGGCTGAAGAGAACACAATGAAAGCCCAGCAGTACCATGATGAATTTGTTAGTGTCAAACAAGGATCAAGAAAGGGTTCAAAACTGAGAAAAAATTGATGATTAGTTACTATATCTTTAAACAGTGTTACCAAATCTAAGTTTGTCGTTAACTGTTGATTAATACAAAAGTTATTTTAGTTTGTATATTTATGGATTATCATGTTCAACTCTTATTCTAATATAACTAGTTGAATCTAAATTCATAACGATGAATCTCGATTCTATCGACAATTTATGAGTTATTTTGAATAACTGTAACCTCAACATGACGCTATCTCGTTTGTATCTTTACGGTGAAGTCAAATTTGTGATTCGGTTTGACTAAAACCAAATAAACCAAATTATCCTCCGTTTTGCATGATAGAGGCATTTTTTGAATTATCGTCTCAATACGACGCTCGTACACAAAGTTATGGCCTTTCAATGTTTCACAACTGTCCAATATAATTTTTAAATTTTTTACCAAATCTGATACTGAAATGACTTGAGTTTACATCTTAGCTGCCTAAATCTACAAATAAACAAGAATCATTATATCAATGAACATAGAATCACCATTGATGAATCAAAAACTGAATTGAGATTTAATCTAGATTGAATATTATAATGTTACATCTGTACAGGTAAATTAAGATAGTGGGCAAACATAAATCAACTATTTTAGAGTTACAGATAAACAATATAAATTGATATTCGATAAAATTAATGTACAATGATTCTTAAGTGAAACAATGGATCTAATGGGATAGGTTCTCTTCATAGACTTTAGAAGACTTGCGTTTGCACGTGGATGGCATGGATGAACGGAGATTCACTACAGTGAATCTCGATTCAATGATGTGAATCGAGATTCACTGAAGTAGATTCATTTCAATGAATCAAGATTCACTAAAGTGAAATCAGATTCATCCCGTCGTATTCATTGTTCCAGTGTCTAGTCACATAGGTTTATCAACTCCTTGCAAAAAAAACTAAATCTGTGATTTCCAATTTAATTCAAGAGTACGTAAAACATGACTTTTACTTAAACTAAATTTGTATTTGTTTGTGGAAAAATTTACAGTAAAAAGAAACGAAGAAAAATTGATTTGTATTCCTTTAATCTCAGTTACAATTGGATTTACTGATTACAAAAGAGAGGAGAATGATCTGGATTCTCCCATTTGTTTAAATCTGGGTTCTTCACGGTGGCGATGAGATGCCTCCCTCGAATGCTCGCGTCGAGTTTGCTTCTCATTGACGATCCGATTTCTTGTTTCACTGGAACGTGGTCTTCTCCTCACGATTTGACGTTGTGGAGAACTCTGAACGAATTTGAAACTCTATTCACTGGAACGTGGTCTTCTCCTCACGATTTGACGTTGTGGAGAACTCTGAACGAATTTGAAACTCTATGAAAGAGTTGATTTAACCGAAAGTCGGTTATAAGCCAAGGATGAAGAAGATCTTGTTGTCGATCTCCAAAGCTCCAACCGAAGGATGAATGATCCTTAATTCCCTGCCCAGAAGTTCCAACAGACCGCCCCGAACTGAATTGATTTTTAGTTATTTATAGGGGATTAAGGGGTGTAACCACCTCCTTAATTCGCTCCTAAGTGGGGCTAATGGGATGTAACCGCCCCTTAAATCACTCCTGAGTGGAGTTGTGATCCCCTCAAATCGTGGAAAATAGTTTTGAAACCGTTCAGCTCGTGTTTGAACGAGTCAAACGCAAAATCCATGTTCTGATGCGAATTCTGCGTTCAAACGCAGTGTTTGGAAGCTTGAACGCAGTGTCTGGAAACTGCGTTGGCATCTTGTTGGAAGCTGCGTTTGGCGGCTTGTAGAGCTGCGTTTGGCAGCGATTTGAACTGCGTTTGGCAGCGGATTGGAGCTGCGTTCAACGTCGGTTGGAGCTGCGTCAGGTAGCGGTTGAAGCTGCGTTCAGCTGCTGAGCTTGGAGCTGCGTTGAGCAGCGGTATAGGGCTGCGTTGGGCAGCGGTATAGAGATGCGTTGGGCAGCGGTATAGAGCTGCGTTGGGCAGCGCTTGGAGCTGCGTTGAGCAGCGGTTGGAGCTGCGTTGAGCAGCGGTTGGAGCTGCATTGAGCTGCGGTATGAGCTGCGTTGAGCTGCGTTCGTGGCTATGAACGCGATGCGTCTTGATACTGGTACGCGGGGAGGACTTCCACGTCTTGATTTGAAGAGACCATCGATTTGTAGTCTCTTTCTGTCGAAGTGTTGCAAAGATCGTCATTTTGTAATCCTTACTTCAGCTCTCTGATATGTGAGAGTCGTCAGATTGTAACTCCCGATGTTGATTGTGGAGGCTATTGATTAGAGCTTTCATCAGTTGTTGTGAAGGTCGTCAGATTGTAACCTTCATCGATCCATGTGAAAGTCTTCAAATTGTTGCCTTCTGGAAGTCGTCAGATTATAACTTACATCATCGGTGTTTGATGGGGATCAGCTATCTATTGTGATTTTTTGACAGCCTACAGTATTTAGTTCAGTGAACATCGATAACTTATATTGAAGCTAAAATATAAGTTTGTATTTAGTTCAGTGAACATCGATTCACTTCACTTCAATTTTACCATTTACAGCAAAATTTTAAATTGGATGCCCTTTACAGCAAAAGTTTTTGATTCAACAAACTTCCTATCATCAAGCTATAAAATTTTAAACCATGAAAAGATTTCACCTTTTACAGCAAAAATTTACGATTTTTATGGTAAAAAATAAACACCTCACATAACTGAATCTGGATTCACTGCAGTGAATCTAGATTCACACATGCGTGTCTTCGTTTTTCAACTGGTTTCTTCAAAAAACGGGAAACTTTTCAGACTAAAAGGTGAAGTTTTTTACTTTTTACAACAAAAAGCTACGCTCGTACATAAAGTTATGGCTTATCATCAAGCTATAAAATTTTAAACCATGAAAAGATTTCACCTTTTACAGCAAAAAATTACGATTTTTATGGTAAAAAATAAACACCTCACATAACTGAATCTGGATTCACTGCAGTGAATCTGGATTCACTGTAGTGAATCTGGATTCACTGTAGTGAATCTAGATTCACACATGCGTGCCTTCGTTTTTCAACTGGTTTTTTAACTAGTTTCTTCAAAAAATAGGAAACTTTTCAAAAAATAGGAAAATTTTCACCTTTTACAACAAAAAGCTACGATCTTTAAGGTTAAAACTAAAACTTTTAGACGAAAAATCAAACAAATTTCATAAACTTACCATTAAAACGTTAAAATAATTTAACGATGACAAAGGTTAAAGACGGTGGTTGAAGACGAAGGTTGACGACGAAGGTTGAAGAAGATCGTTGGTAGAGATGCAGTTGAAGGCAAACGTAGCATTAGATAGGTTGGGATGAGTTTTGGAGATAGAGAATTGTCGTGACTTTTTGGAAAGGGAGATGTTGAAGAGAGAGAGAGAGAGAGAGAGAGAGAGAGAGAGTTGTTGTGATTTTGGAGAGAGAGAGATATGTTATGACTTTTGGAGAACTCAACAGACACATGCATTCATTACAGTGGCAACATGCATTCATTACATGTGGATGTTAATTTTACATGATTACCCTTATGCAGCTGTAATAGTATTATAATCCCAGCCATTGGATGAATCTAGAGATACAACTTAAGTTGATATGAGTCTTACTCTATATGTACTTGATCTTATGTCAACTTAAGTGGATGTCTACCAAACTTTTTAGCCACTCATTTATATATATAAAAAATCTTTTCATATCTTTCATGGAACCCTAGGCAACATCAATCGCTAAAAAGTTTGGTGGACAAATTTTTTGTATCCACTCAAGTTTTGCTATTTTTGAGTGGTTATACACAATGTATTTTTAAGTCAAATACTTAAGTCACAATCGTTTTTGCTTTTTTCACACTCAAATGCAACGCGAGTTCTCTTTCACGCTGCCAGATTCATACAAATAATACCCCAAATCTTAGGGTTCAGGGTTTTCGCGCTTATTGCCTCTCTCTCTCTCTCTCTCTCAAACTCAAAAAAAAAAGGACAAAAAGAGAGCACTCCGATCAAAACCCAATGTCATCAGCACCGGCGACGGGCCCAGGCTCGACCCGGCAATTCAAGCTTGACAGAGAAAGCGAACTTCGGGTCGAAGTCGGACCCGATACCCAAATCCGGATCCGATTACTCTCCGGCACCGCCGAGATCTTCGGCACCGAGCTTCCTCCCGATACTTGGCTCTCCATTCCCCCCAGACACAAATTCGCTGTAATGATAAAAAAAAACCCTCTCAATTCTATTATTTGCTTGTTTACCCCCTTTTTCCGGGGGAAAAAAATAAATTCTGATTTCCCCCCTAGGTTTTTACGTGGAATGGTGCGACTGTGGAATTGGAAGGCTTCAGTGACGTTGAGTATGTTGCTGATGAGGTGGTTTGCTTAAAGATTTGATCTTTTGTTTTTTGTTTGGGTTAATTTCACAAAACCGCCTTAAGCTTTGGGGTGTTGTTCTTTAGAAAGAGGAAAAAATAAACTTTAAACTTTTGAAAAGAACTTTGGAGTTACGGAACTGAAACTGTTATATCATTTCGTGGAACTTCACTGAAGTTCAGCATGGTTTTGTAAAATTTGCCCTTTTTCCTTTTTTTTTGGAATTGATTGTGTTTTCTCTAATTTTGTAGACTCCTATGGTTAGTTATGTAAATGTTCATGCGATACTTGATGCGCGAAGGTCCAGGGCTAAGGCTGCAGCAAGCAGCGATGTGGATAATTCACAGGTATTATAGTCGAATTTTTCTCAGAAATTGTTTTTTGGACACTTAAGACTGTCAACTGATTGGAGTCTTCAGTCAATTTTGAGAAATCTGTGTTATTAATTTCAAAGATTAAAATTTTGTGTTTCAGGGTCCAAGGGTGATTGTTGTAGGGCCGACTGATTCAGGAAAGAGTAGCCTGTGTAGGATGCTCTTGAGCTGGGCTAGTAAGCAGGGTTGGAAACCGACATTCGTGGATTTGGATATTGGTCAGGGGTCGATCACTATTCCTGGATGTATAGCTGCTACTCCCATCGAAATGCCTATAGACGCAGTCGAAGGGATTCCTCTTGAAATGCCATTAGTGTACTTCTATGGGCACACAACTCCTAGGTAAGGTTTTAACTTCTAACTTGTTTGTTTTATCACGGTATATATTGCTCAGTATGATGCATTTTATAGGGTAAATTCCTCTGAACTATCATGAAGTTTGAGGGGTTTGCACAAAACTACTATAAAACATTTTTATTAAATCAAACTATCACACACTTTCACAATTGTGGGAAAATACCATGAATTACTGGAATTGTTGTTAGCGGCGTTATGTCTTGGACAAAGGGCTAAAATAAGCTTAATAATGTCTATCTACTCTAACCCGAAAAACTCTTTTGGTAAAGTAAAAAGTACATAAGAGCAAAATTTCTAAAACACGTCTGGACCCTAACTACCATCAAGGCATGGTAGTTTAGTGTGGAAAAAAGTAAATGTTAATTTTCAGTAATTAAAGAAGTTCATGATAGTTTGGTGCAAAACCCACCCACCCCTGCAAACCCAATCGAAACATGTAACCCAAAAAAAAAAAAAGAGAAACAGAAAAAAAGAAACTACACATGGAAGTTCATGGCATTTTTGTGGAATCTATGGTTTTTCATATGAAGGGCTGCTGCTTGTGGGTTCTTAAAAGGGTAAGGTTAAAATTTTCTATGTATGTTACTCAACAGTATGAATGGAGATTTGTACAAAGTTCTTGTGAAGGAGCTAGCTCAAACTTTGGAGAGGCAGTTCTTGGGAAATGCTGAATCTAGAGCTGCTGGAATGGTGATCAACACTATGGGATGGGTCGAAGGTCTTGGATATGAGGTAGTTGCCTACAATCTAATAACGATCTTTCTTTTTCGTTAGTGATTTTCTTGTATTATATGTTTAATATATCTGTAGTATAATATTGGTCTTGTTTCTCATTGCATGCAGTTGCTACTTCATGCGATTGATACCTTCAATGCTAATGTTGTTTTGGTCTTGGGGCAGGTATACCGTTACACATTTTATTAGTTTTTACTGGCATTTTCTTCTGGATCAAGTTTTGTACATATAGCTCTTTAATATTTGGTGTCCTGATTAATTTAATGAGCTCATAAGAAATTTTTAACTTATTTATAAGCGTCACTTGCTTCTAGAAAAGGGCAGCCAAGATATAAAATAATTCAGATCTAAGAGACTTCTATGTGTTAACCAGGCCTAAAGATACTCAATAATTTTGGTAGCAGACTTGTGTTTCATATTTAAGAGCAAGAATTAAAATGTGGGTTTAACAAAAAAAATTCCCCTTGAAGGAATTGTATTCTATAAGATACAGATTTTTTGAATGATGCATTTAATATTTCTCATAGATTACTGCCTTTTGTACTATATGAGTCTGTAATTTATTTGGCAGTTTGTTACATATACTTATTCGTGTTTTGTACAGGAGAAACTTTGCAGCATGTTGAAAGATGTGGTGCAAAAGAATAAGCCTAATGTGGATATTGTGAAACTTCACAAGTCTGGCGGTGTTGTCCCCAGGAATCCGAAGGTCCGCCAGAAGGCTAGGAGCTCTAGGATTAGGGTAAGTTGAATCTTTCCTGATTGTAGCTATGCATGAAGGTATCAGTTACCTTGATACCTTTCTCCATAATAAAATTGTGTCAATACGCATGAAGTATGTTACAAAGTACATTTATTATTCCTCTCCGAGTTGATTGTCATACTGTTTTTTTTTTTTTTTGGTGAAGATTGTAATACTGATTAATTCTTGTCATTTCAGATGTTTTTTTGAAAATGGTGTTTATCTTCTCTTAGACCAACCTTTTTTAGTCTAAAACGGTATGTTCACTTGTTCAGTACAAGTGAAAATTAAAACTGAATGCCAGTAAAAGTTTAGCTGCCCGACTGGTTTTAGTTTGTCCCTGTTAGTAACTTAAGATAAGTAAACAAAACTTCTGTAGAGTGTGATGGCAGTGTGCCTGTAGTGATACATAAATCATATCTTGATTTTTATTTAATAATCATGAGATGTTAAAGATTATCTTTGGTTCTTCTTTCAACAACATTGAATTGTCATGTTGAATATGTGACCCGATTAAGTTTTCTTCCGTGGTAAGTTTCAAATTCCTCACCGGCTGATATATGATAGTTCATATTTTACCTTGAATGTAACATACAGTATTTTGTACTACATCTGATCTGTATGAATCATTTTTAGTGTCAAATAAAATTTCCACACTTTTGGATAGTATACCCTTGACTACCTATCAGTTGCATTTTTTAATATATTGAAGGGAATATACGGCGAAGAATCCCTCCATTGTGGACGATCATTTGTACATAGCCTTGAGCCTCACTCGTGCATTACTAAGAGTCTCCTTCCACATGACTAGAACCTGTGACCTTAAGGTTGTACCAGAACAACCTTATTTACAATTACTTGCATATTTTATTTTATGAATCTTCTTACAACCTGTCCTGTAGTTGTTTTCAGTTTTTAAAATGAATAAATGATGACCCGGATCCCTTTCCTCTAAAGGAGAGGATGTTTCTTTAAAAGTGCTGTAATCACAAGCAACTCTCTTTGAACTCTCTTGAATTCCTGTTCTCTAAATTAACAATTATTTAATAATTCTTAATAAACAGCAAGTATCCATGAGATGGGTTTTTCCTGTTAGTTTATGTTATAAAGAGGAAAATGATGTTGTCTAGGTAGGTTTTCTTTTTTAAAGCTATGTCCAAAATTACCACCAGGTTGCTGATTATGATAATTGGGTCCAAACAAGGTATACAGTTGTTTATATATATCAATAGATAGAAGCCATCATCTACAAAATAAATCAAGAAAACATATTCACATATCTTTTGTGTTCATGAAGCCTTAATATTATGAAAATAGAATGGAGAAGCAGGAGATCTTGAATTATTGAGCATATTGTACTTGTATATACGCACGTGCGCGTACCCATGCTAGTAATATCATGCTAGGTCTATTCATCAACAGAGGGTGTGATGTATTAGAGTACGTTTAGGCTCTAAACCAGGTAGCATGTCCATTCCCTTAATGAGCGCCCTCTAAACCACTGATTACTAAACATGACCATGCATGTTGAGAAGTGTCGTCCGAAAATTTACAAATGGCATATCTTGTAATATTAGTATAAAAACAATTAACCATCTAAAATAGCACACTGTATGTCAGCAAAGAGTCCACCTCTGAAACCTGTCAATTGGAATGAACAGAAAGGAAGGTTACATTCGAAGAATCTGCCTCCTTCAACTTACTGTTAGTTATATATATGTATATATAGACACACAATACACACACTAAAGTGCTAAGTTTATAATGTATTGATTGCATTTGTCCAACAACATCAATACGTTTCAGTTTCTTGAGTTATTATAGATGCCACTGCATGCAGAAGTCATGAAAGTTTATGATGAAGCCACCAAATAGACAGACAATAAGGCATCATTTTCTGATCCTCCTTGAGCAGCTTTCAGTGAAACATGTTAGTAAAGCCAATGTTTTAAAACTGAAAGGCGAGGTTAAGGCCATCTGGTCCTATGTTACCTGATACAAAAGGTGCCAAAAGGCAACCGCCTGAGTAAGGCGATAAATACTCAGAACTCCATATAAATTACACATAATATGCAATTAAACAGAATATTAATAAATTACAACAGGATATATTAGTCACAGCTGAATTTTGAATTCATAAACTATGATAACTAACAAGACATAAACCATCTTCATAAAGTACTAAGTAACTACTACTAGATAATAATACTAACTAGTACCTAAACATAGATAATTCAGGTTTCAACATGTGGCAAATCCTCACAAATGATGTCAGTAAGGTACATTACAACTAAAAATTAGCGAAAAAATCAACCAAGAATAAAGAAACAAAAAATGGGAAAATTTTAAACAAATATTACTTTGCCAGACATCTTTTACACTCTCAAAACATCAAAACAGAGGCGGATATTTTGCGTCATGCCTCACATGCCTTAGGCGAGTTCTTGAGGTGGAAAAGGCGCTCTCCTTAGTAACCTTCATTGCTTGGTGATATGTGAGGCGCTAAGCTGCAAATTTGCCTCACCTGAGCACTTGAGACGCGAAGGCGTGACGGTTTTAATACACCAAGGAAACCTTAAGGAAAGTTGAAGAATGTCATAGTAGTTGATGCTCATGTTCGCTTGATCTCAGATTGCTGGGTCTCTTTCTATTGTTCTGATAAGATTGTTTGTCTTAGCTGTTGTGTTCACTGGTGATTACTCAATTTCACACACAGAAAGCGAAGGTTTCAAGTATTATTCTAAATCGAGATCTTTTAAACTGATAAGAAACAGGTAAGTAAAAAGAAGGTGGGAAAAAGACGTGAGACTTTTGGGGGAGGAATGAAAATAAAGGAGAGTCACAAGGACAGAGTCTCCGGGCCTCTTTCTATTGTTCTGATAAGATTGTTTGTCTTAGCTGTTGTGTGCACTGGTAATTACTCAATTTCACACACAGAAAGCGAAGGTTTCAAGTATTAGTGTAAATCGAGATCTTTTAAACTGTTAAGAAACAGATGAGTAAAAAGAAGGCGGGAAAGAGGTGAGACTTTTGGGGGAAGAATGAAAATAAAGGAGTCACAAGGACAGTCTCAGAGAGGACATGTGGATTTGTTAAATTTTTGGAGTGGGACTTTGACTGCATTAAACTTCGATTACATGCTTCACATTACTGCTAACAAATGTATGTGGTATTTCCTTCCCTTTTAATGTTCATATGCAACACCATTCTTTTTGTATTATCTTGTTCTTTTTCCTGCTGGACCAATATACCATGTACACATATATACTTATTCAGTTATATCATTTTAGATAAAACATAACTATTTTTGCCAATCTAATCTCTATTCTTCCAAATTTGTTTTGTTTTAAATGTAGTTCGATTTCTTTGCAGGAGTACTTTTATGGGCTGCTTGATGATCTATCACCACATTCAAATATAGTGAACTTCAGTGATATTTCTGTTTTCCGAATTGGTGGCGGCCCACAAGCTCCCCGTTCAGCGCTTCCTATTGGAGCTGAGCCTCTAGCGGACCCAGTTCGACTAGTTCCTGTTACCGTTAATCGTGACTTGCTCCATTTAGTTTTAGCTGTCTCATATGCAAAGGAACCTGATCAAATCATCTCCAGGCAAGTGGTTAACCATAACTTTGCTGACTTACTGTTAACTTCAAAGTTCAAAATTTCCATTTCCTCATAATAGCTAAGGAAAATTGTTTGTTTAAGAAATGAATTGTTATCAGGATATCCAGGCCTATGTGATATCTCCCTCCCCATTTTACCAGTCTTACCATGGAAAAGTCTTTGCGAGCTTTTTATTCAGGATGATAAGCATCAAAGCTTAGGCCTAACTCTTGGAAGCAGAGACCTGGTAGGGAATGTAAGAGTAGAAATGTTTTAGAAAAGTCTAAAAGATAAAACTAGGAAGGGGGAAAAAAGGGAATCACACCCTCTCAAATATAAGATCGGGAATCACAGGGGATAGGGATTGGCCTCACACAAACATGCAGGATACCTGCTTTAGAAAGAACCACACCTTCAAAGAACAAGAGTTGGCCTAACATCAATATGCTATTCATGTGCATTTCCCCATTTGTTTTTCATCACAAAATCAAATCAATCTCTTCATTAACGTTATTAGGTATTTACAAACTAAGCACTCAAATGCAAATTTCAAATCTTATCTTAAATTCAAATATAACTAAGAAACTTAAATTCAAACTTCATTTCTATTAACAAATACTGAATTCAAATCAAATATTCATCACTCGAAATCAAATATCTAATCCTACACTAGTTTCTCCAATCCTAAATGAATTAGAACACAAATAAAATTTTGACTTTATCTCCAATTCTCCAAAGTTGTGATGCATCGCCTGATCTTTCACTTTCCCGCTTTAGGTATGTATATGTATTTGCTATATGTTGGTGAAATTTTGCTAAAACATTGTTGCTTGCATTTCTGTTGCAGCAATGTTGCCGGTTTCATCTATGTCACAGATATTGACATCATGAGGTGACAAGCACAAACTTTTCATTTTTCATCTTTTTATGCATTTCACTTTTTTTTACCCTTGCGGATGTTATCTTTACAGGAAGACGATCACATTCCTTGCACCTTGTGCTGGTGAACTTCCAAGCAAGTTTTTGATTGCAGGAACATTGAATTGGTTGGAGAGCTAATATTATTGACTGATGATCACTTCACTTTTATGGAGTTGGATGTAGCAGTCTACTGTCCATTACCTAAGACTGATATTTTAATGTTGTAGCATGTATATCTGTTAATTGCTATTTATATGCTGCCATAAGTGCAATATGGAACATTATAAAGTTGTCACTGCAGTGCATTACACACGTCCTAAGTTTGGAACGTATGTAGTTTTAAATTTAATTTTCATTTATCTTAGCATGTAATCGAGCATTGAACCAGTGACATCATAAAATTCTCAGTTTCTGACATTATACTGACCTTATTCTATATTTTGAAAATTATAGGAGAATGTAATTCTGCTGTTTGTTTTTGTAAAGTTGCAATCTAAGCAGCTGTAGTTAATATCAGGGCAAAATTGGTTGCATAAGGTATATTGAGCAATGTATTTATTCATAAGGTATCTGACGTTCCTACGTAAGCAGCAAGTAACTCCATGCAATTACGACTTTATGAAGGCGAATAACTATTTTATAGCTAACTCAAAATTTATCAAAGTGATTGTTATTCTGTTTTTTCAAGTCATGGACTCTTAGCAATTATGAAGTTCACTGACCGGGGTTGGCTGATTCATACCTGTTGCCAATTGTTTTCTAATCTCTTTCCTTGTGTCTTTTCAGAGTTTTGGAGCAGGCCTTGTAACCAGTTCTTGAGATAGTTAAGTATCTCCAAGGTTTAACTGTTTTTTTCCCCTTCTCCTTTTGTAACTACTAAAAACTGGAATTAGTGTTCCATTCTCAAAAAGGCAGTTCCAGTTGCAGTTGTTTATTTGATTATAGCAATATTGCAAAAGCTCAGGTTCTCCTTCATATTCCCTATTTTTTTTAATTGCCCTCCCTTTTTGGCAACTTTCTTTTGTTTTGTTATTATATTTCTGTGATTGGGTATGAGAGGGTGGTTACCTAGTTATGCTGTTTGCTTCTTCTTGTTGACGAGCAGGTATCTGGTGATGTTTGTTTGTTTGTTTCCCCCCTTTTTTTCTGATGTTAATGTTTGGTTCTCGTGATTCTGTTTTTGATTTTGTTGCTGTTTGCAGGTTTGACGAGCCCTGGCCTTAAATCGTGTGAAGGTAAGCATTTTCATTTGGAGTTTTGATGATTACTGTATTTTAAAATAGTGATGATGGAGTCAGGATTTTAGAGTTTGGTGTTTTGCACCCGAGAAAGGCAAGTCATTGAAAATCCATCTTCACAGTATTCTGAGAAAATCCAACGATCAACTAACAAATATGCAATGTTTACGAAGGGGCGAGTTATGATTAACTTGTTAAATGTTTACTGCCTCAACCAAAATAAACTGAAAACTCACAATTAGGCCACAAAATATTAGTAAGCCTAATAACCAAGTACACAAGTCCTTTTTGCACTAAGACAATACGTCCTCGTATGCTCTCCACCAGAGACCTAAACAACCCGAAAGTAATAAAAATACACTGCAACCCTTTCTTTCTCTATTTGAGGGTGTTGAATTGATCATTTAAATACCAACCTGCCCACATTTTCTTGGAGATTGTCATAAAATTTCTGGTAATTGGTACTGATGGAATAAAAAAATTCCAGTGCTTCTATGTATGTTTGTGGTGTCTCTCCCAATTTTTTATAATTAATTATCTCTTCCCTTGGGAACTCAGATCTAGAAAATAATGGTGGTCAAGTGTGTTATTCAACAAGCCTTCTCCTTATGTCGATATGTAACATTAACGTTGAGAAAAAGCTTCCAATCTTCTCCAATTTTCTAGGGAGCTTGTCCTTCATTATTGAAAGATTTCACATAAAAATGTTTCAGTTATTGTGCTACTTTTGTTTTAAAAAAAGAAAGAAAATCCCCATCTTCTCCAAAATTTTATGAGGACTTACGAAATATTTTACAATTAAAAGATTCTGCTAAAATCTTTCTAGTGCTAGTATGTGTACAATAACAATCCATCCCTTCAATAGGCCGTTCTATCCATCTTGGAGAAGGCTGTAAATTGTCATATATGTTGGAACAAATGGGCACTTGGGGTATTATTATTATGCTATCTTTTTCCTGGAAAGGAAATTTGAGTGTGCATACTTTGATTTGCATGAATAATGATAGGGCAAGTCCGCAAGCGCACGGACTCGTTGTAGCTATCAAGGTCGATCCCACAAGGACTAGGGGTTATCTACCAAGTTTCACGTTTTCAACTAGCTAAATCAATGAGTAAATTAGAAGAGATTTAATAAAAGAAATAAAATAAACAACTAATCGGATGGAATTCAATATAATGAAGGACTAGGATTGGGTTATCACCACAACTTAGGTGTTCAATGATGAATTATTTTAATTCTTGGTGTTGGTTTAATCTAGAAAGGGTGAATTAGCCTAAATTAATCTAAAGCCTCTTTCAAGGTCTAAAGATCGTGCCTAATCAATCTCAATTAACCTACTTTCGTGGAATCAAGATTAAATTAAATCCATTAAGCTTTATACTAATCCAAATCAAATCCCCAAGGAATCTAGCTTACTTTCGTGGTTCGAGCTCCCTGCTTAATTTCTAGAGATCCGGTATTAATCTTCACCTTTCAGTCCTTCAATTAATTACCTATGATTGCTAATACGGTGATCAAGCGAATCAACAAAATTAAAACACTAGAAATTAAGTTCAAAGATTTAAACTTTCACCAAGAACCTATATCAATTCATCATCAATCACCAAAAAGTTGGGTTCTTTCCCAATCCTAGACAAGAAATCTACTCACACATGATTGGAATAAGAGAAGACATCAAATAATTATGCAAATCAATCATAAGAAGAAATAAATCAAAGAGAGGAAAGAATTAACCCGTCTTTCAATTGAAATCTTCAAAATAAGAACTTGCAATCCAATCTTCTACAAGAGATTAATGTCTTCCTTCAATACTTGAACCCTAGAATAGTTGCTAGTTGATGGCTAAAAGAACATAACAAAAGATATCCAAAACCCTAAGTCAAAACATCTATTTATATGTTCCCAAAAATCTGGAAAATAACTAATTCCCGCGCCACCGGTGTGGTCTGCACCACACCAGGGTGTGGTAGGGGCTGTTTTGCTGATTTCGTGCGTGTCTGTACAGTCTTCGGTATTTTGGCTATAACTTTTGCGTCCGACCTCGGAATGAGGTGATTCAAGTTGCATTGTAATCCTGTTGAAGAGATCTACAACTTTTATCTTTTGAGTTTTTCTTGATTCAAATTGCATCATGGTCGAAATTCCAGTTCATCATACTCGTGCATCCATTTTCTTCACGAACCATGCCTTCAAAATCTTGTTATTGCTTCAAACTCTTGTAAAACTTCCAACGATCATCAAATCTTTCAATCTTGAGCCAATACCTACATATAAGAACACAAAAAACAGCAGTATCCTCGATCTAAACACGAAATATGCATCAAACGCTCGTAAATCATGCTTGAAACACACTAAGATAATGCATATTTTACGTGTTTATCAAATAATATCAGAAAATCCAGTTTTTGGTAACATTTTGTCTCTTCTGTCAGGCATTAAGCAAGGTGCGAAAATCAGTAGGGGTCTTCTTTATGTGATAACTCTTGTTCCATGTCGAAAAGAAAGGACTTGGTATCTGCTTGGTTTTATCTTTAGTCCTCACTGGTTTCTTGTTGATACTTAGTCGCCGCCCCAACCCCCACCCTATCCACCCGCCGCCCCGCCAAAAAAACAAAAAATAAATTCCTCAGAATTTATATTTTGAGATTTCAGGTGGTTGCTCAAAATCCCCCAAATTTAGGGGTTTTGTGACATTTACACCATTTTGACGCGAGCACAAATGTACGTTATATTATACTATAAAAATGACTTGTGTACGTTCTGGATAAAAATGGCGACCATTGAATCCGTACTGAGCAATTGTGAAGCATCTCTTTGTTAATTCTATTAAGGGTCTGTTTGTTTGCCTAAAAAAATGGGAAATCAAAGAAATGGAAAACTATTTCTAAAAAGAAATATTTTGGCAGTGTTTGGTTTGCTAAAAAAAAGGAAATTAAAAAAAATGGAGATGAGATGAAATGAGTTGTCATCTTATTATAGGATGATGTGAGTGATTTTTTAAGAAAACTTGTTTTGATGTTGTTTGGTTGACCAAAAAAATAAGAAAATGAATTATAAGAAACTTATTTCTTGTAATATGTTGTTTTCTTTTGTTTGGTTCATTCTTAAAAATAAGAAAATAGTTGAGATGAGATGAGTTGTCATTATATTATTGGATGATGTGACCCACACTTAAGGAAATTGTTTTCCTAACTTTTTGGGAGGAAATTGGTGGAAATGAAATGTTAATGAGATGAGATGAGTTGTCACCATCTTATTAGATGATGTGAGTGATTTGAAATGATGAGATGAGTTGAGTTGAGTGATGTTGTGGATGAAAATAATATTTTATTAGATGTGGTGGATGAGTTGTTGGATAAAAATAATATTTTATTAGATATTGTGGGTGAGTTTTAGGGATGGAAATTGATGAAATTGTACTTTTTGAGTTTTTTTTTGTTTTCATTTCTATTTCTTAGTTTTTTAGGAAATAACCAAACAGGCCTTAAGTAGAGACTTGTAAGATTTATGAATGAGTGTACCCCTCCAGCCAAAAGAGAGGAAAGAATAGAATTGTGTGCTACCGCCGCACCGCGTTGTACTTGAGTTGTTATTTTAACCGACACTCGACGTGCACAAGCATAAGCAAACACGTTAGTGAATTGCAAAGGTACGCAGAATGTATAAACGGTAAACAGAGGAAATATTCCCTACAACACATACAAGTATTTTTGTTGGGGCTAGTTATCTCTGGTTATGAGTCCAATAGCAACACGAGTTAGCGCAAATGAGAAGGAAATTCGACACGCAAATGAGAAGGAAATTCGATACCGAGCAACTTCAAGAATGATTTCCCTATGAAGGATAAAGCTATACGCATCTGCTGAGGCAATTTCGTTAGGAAGTAGGGAAGAAGAAGAGAGACATCTGCTGCTTGTCCCTGAACGAGAATACGTAAAGGCCAATTCTCTCTCTCTCTCTCTCTCTCTCTCTCTCTCTCTCTCTCTCGTGTGAACCAAACGGGGGATACTTACAATACTAGTTCCCCAGTGGATAATCAAAAATTAGCCAGCTAACAAGATTTCGAAAAAAAACTTAAAATAAATCAATAACAGTCCAAGGGGGTCTAGAGAAATGTTTTAAGTCTTCAATTGAGCAAAAATATGTATAAAACCCAATAATATATTTCCATTGTTTTTACCTCTGCTGCTTCCCTTGCTTGGAATACAAATATAAATGCACATCAAAATGCCTCTAGATCAACGAAGCAAGCCATAGCAGAAACAGCAAGAGACTCCAAACAAAAAGAATGATAAAGACTATCCCTCCATTTTTCAAAACTCCTCTTTCTTTGAACACATTTATCGAACATATAACGCAATGCAATCCACCATCAGGCCATCGGAAAATATGAAGATTACAAAAAATAGTCTGGTGTCTTTCGGGTGGTATCTGGCTCAATCTGCCTTGGTGCCGGATCGAATTGGAGGAAATTTTGAGACATGTTCTCCCCAATCTCCAGTATTGCTGCCATATTACCGCAACGGTAGCAATAGTTTGGTGCACTGAATACCGTGACTACGTTCTTGTCCTGTATTATATATGAATAGAATAAACAAATTATTAAATCTACTTCTTTATTACTACAGGTGAAGAATAAAAAAGCTAAAATGAATAGTAACCTAAGGTTATGAACAATTAAAATGAATAACCAACCCACGTTTCACACAACCCATAATCTCTCTCCAAAAATAACCAACCTTAACTCCCGCGTCGCTCTTCGATCAAAGCAACAATCATAAACTTAGCCGCAGGAAAACTCTCTCCCTTCTGACTTCCCCCCTTATCATCTCTCCTCCCATTGAAACTGCAAGGGCCAAGGATAAGGACGAGACCCAGCAAGATGAGCGAGTCATCCAAATCTTTCAGGTCTCCTTTATCTGTTTCAAGAATCCTTAGCTTTACAAACCCAGTTGATGAAATTTGAGATAACCCATTATTTTAGGATGCATCTTCATCTGTCGTGTTCATCAAAGTCTGGGCACTGCAACCAAAATCTAGGCAAAATAAGAAGGGTATCCCTGTGATCGAGGAAGAAGACGCCAAGGTTGAAGGAATTGGGTTTGGGTTTGTTTGGGACAAGGCTCGCCACATTGTGACTTGTGAGAATCTAATTCAACTATTTTGTTCAAATTTTCAATGTACTTGATTATTTTTATTGGAAATGCTCATATGGGTTTTTTGTATATTGATGAAATAGGTGACAAATTATCATGTTATAGATAAATTGGCCACTGATCAGTCTGGTTTGCGACGTTGCAAGGTAATCAATGTGGACTATGATTTGGTTTTAACTTGAATTCGTTGAGATTTGATGGATGGATTATGATTGTGTTTTGATCTTTTGTTTGAGGTTTTCTTCGAAGATGTGAATGGAAGTACTTTTGCTAGGGAAGGAAAGCTTATAGGATATGATCTCGTCGATATCCCCATTGACTCTCTCTTCGATCCACCCTCTTATGATCTCCTCCTTAATTACTTCCCTAAACAAAAAATCACCCCTAATCTCCTCCCGGCCTTCTCTGATCCTTTGATATTCTCTCCAATAAACGACTTGGACTACTACTCCCAATGCCCAAAGCGCCTGAAGAGCTATAATGATCTTGATGATAATTCCGCTTCGATGATGAGCAGTTGGCCATGTGTGGAATTTGCAGTCACTCCTCGGTTCAATGGAGAGGAGAAGAAGAAAGATAGTGCGAGTGGGGATCGGGTTTTGTCAGCACAGAGCATTGCAGCGAGAGAGAGGAGTAAGAGGATCAGCGAGAAGACGCAGGAGCTTGGAAAATTGATTCCTGGAGGGAACAGAACACTGCTGAGATGTTTCAGGCTGCATTTAAGTATGTTAAGTTCCTACAGGCTCAAGTTGGGATTCTTAGTCTCGTGGGATCAACGTAGATAACTTTATTTGACTGATTTAATAGAATTTAATTTAAGTCGGCTTTCTTGAAACTTTGATTTTTTTTATTTAATTATTTATATTTTTTTATAGGATGGAGAGGGTTCGATGGAGGTGATTGGAGGTATTGAAGTGCTGCTGAAATCACAAGTTGTGCAAGAGAAGTTTTCAAGTGAAGGGAAATGTATAGTCCCAAAGGAAATAGTTAAGCTAATTATATTCCAAGGCGATTTTAACGCAGAAAAGATTCCTATCTATTAATGGACTCTACATTATCTGTTCCATTTTGAGTGCTGATATGTAGTGGTCAATTTGCAAATTTGAAGATATTTCAATTGTTCTCTATATTTATTGAATTTCCTAATTTCAATGTTGAACACTAATTTACTCTTATAAATGTTTAAGTTTATCAAGAGTCACTTGAGTAATTAAAAGGTAGTAATTTAGATTATGCCACTAATTTAATTAAATATTTCAAATGGAATTTCCCAGTACTTTGTTGATTGACCTTCACAAATTACTCACAATTCTCTATCTCAAAATTTTCTCTTTGGAAAGAAGAAAACTGCATGTACCTTCTCTGATTTTATTTTGTGAGGGTTTTCTGCATAAAAATTTTTTTAGTTAGTTTCTAGAGGAATTGATTGATATACAAATGATGGTGATGAATTTGATCTAAATTCTAATTTTTTGAGCCTCAGATTATTGTTTTTTGGATTATTTAGTTACGTCTTTTAGCATGGTGAAGATGCTAATTTCTATTTATAATGATTAAATTTGATTTAGTTAACCTTAATAGTGCCTAATTCTGAAGATGCTAACCCTTATGTTTAAATTTGATTTGGTTAATTTTTTTGCTTTTTTTTAATGAAGATTTGGTTGTTAAATTTTAATGGGTTTTGTTTGTTTGTGGGTTAGAGATTGGAAATTGATTACTTCAGAGATGATGATGGATGGATCAAATCGGAGTGTCAACTCAGTTCATCACATTTATGAAACAATAACTTTATTTCACTTTTTATATTTAAATTTTAGATAAATATTTTTACACATTTATGCACTGAAAAAATTGACCTTTATTGTGTTATTTCAATTTTAGTTTTGAGTAGTTATTTGATCTTTAGAAATTTGGTTAATGAAGTAGTTATCAAATCGAACTTGATCAAATATCTGGACAAATAATAACTAAATTGTTTATTAATTATTCGGTTCACTTCCACCACTATACTTCATATCTAAAGCAGAATACTTTATTTTTGTAACATGTTCAATATTTGCAGAAAAATCTTTTAGGAACCGTGCTTTGCATGGGTCTAAATATTAGTTTAAGAAATTCAAAAATAGGATCAAAATGCCATGAACTTTCAAAACTGCAGAAAATACCATTCCGGAAGTAAAATGCCATGAACTTTCATAACTGCAGAAAATACCATTCCGGTGTTAACATCTTGGATAAAAGATATCAGCTATATTTATATATCTATTGATCCACAAAGTTCATGAGGATAATATAGAAGATATACAAAGTACAAAAGGGCAAAATTGTCCAAAATGTCATGCGTGAAAGATATGCCAAATAGTATAGTGAAAAAAGTTCATGGTAATTTTCTCTAATAAAAAAGGGTTTTTACATGAAAACCACATTAAATTTTGCCCAATTTGCAACCTACCACAATATTATTATTATTATTATTATTATTATTATTACTACTACTATTTATCAAGACCACCTGCATTTGCTAACTTGTACCCAATGTCACACTTATTCCATTATTCAGCTCAAAAAATTATAAAATGTCCATTTTACCCCTCCTTTCTGGATCCTCCCTTGCCTCCCCTCCCCGTCCTCCTCCACCTCTAGGGTTTCTCCAAACTCCAACCCTTCCCTCCGCTCTCCCCTCCCTGTCCTCCTCCACGTCCTCCATCATCTCCTCCACTTCTGGGGTTTCTCCAAACCCTAACCCCTTTCCTACTCTCCTCCATCAACGACCCCTTTCCTACTCTCCTCTATCAACGGC